CTTATTTAATAACTTTCCATTGAAAAAAACTAGAAAATTGAAAAAAAACTTGACAAAGTTTGAAGAAAGGGAGTTCGAAAATTTTTTAAAATGTTGAAAAATAGGAAAAAATTTGAAAAAATACCAGAAAGAGTTAAAAATGTTTGAAAAAGTAAAATTGTTGAATAAATGTTATATTACTAGAATTTCATATTTTTACTAAATTAATTTGTGCTATAGTTATTTCACATTTTTATCACTTTATTATCTTTTTTATGTCACACTATTTTTTATTTCAAACCATATTTAATACTTCGTAATATTTTTGAGACTTACACTCATTAGAGGGTAGTAATCTTTTTAAATATCTTATTTGAAACGAAAAGTTAAGATAAATAATCTAACGTTATATCAATAAAACACAAGTATCATCACATCACATTTCCAAATTACTTTGTAATCCTTAAGATTTTACTCCCTTCATCCGGGAAAAGATTTTACTTCTTCTCTTTTCTTTCGTTCTGAAAATATTTGATCATATATTCACTTTTCAATACCTTTTTTCTAAATTTTATGAGCGTAAAGCACATAAAATTTTTATGAAATGGGTGTCGTATCTATTGTATATTTGACATAAGTATATTTAAAAATTTTACCAATAAGTACATCCAAATATAATTGAGGATACAACTTACTTATTTATTTGGAGTGAAAAAACACAGTGTACACATATTTACCAAAATTTAATTTCTATTTGAGGAAAATAAATAAATTAAGCAGTGAGAGAAGCTAGAAAAATTAGATTTGGACACATTTTTATGGTCCGATATTTTTAAATAAACCCAGAAAATAATTTCAAAAGTTCAATACACTATATAATTTAAGACAATCTCTCTCATTCTCCCTCCGTCACAAAAAGAATTTTTCACTTCGAGAAACATACAAAATCTTATATATTTTAAAATTAAATGAAGTTATTACAAAATAGTAGAAAAATAAAAATTAAATATTACATATTTTAAAATAAGATGTGACAAGAATATCTTATTTTATTAAATAATAAAAAATAGACGAGATGATATTTCAGGGACAGAGGAAGTATATAATTATATTGTAAACATTAAATAAAATAATTAAAAAATAAAATGTAGTATAAGTGCATATCGTTTAAAAACATAATTATGTTGTAAACTAATAGCCTTCTTTGGAAAGAACTTTTTTATTTAGTGTTTTGGTTAGTTTTTTAATGGTATAGATTAATTTTAAAAATGTTCTCAAACAAATTTTTGAAAACATTAAAACTAAACATGAAGTTTTTGCCAAACGACATAGTATCTCACCTTTATTTCACGTATAATACTTTATTAATTATACTACATGGGGAAATATGGAAACTAAATTTCCTAATTATAATGTGTATATGCTTAAATCTCTATAATTCTTTTTCCATCAAGAATCAATAGGGATGGAAGCATTAATATATTAATTATTTTAAAATTGTATATTGACTTTGTAATGGTAGATGAAAATTGTTTCTAGGACAATTTTTTTATATAAGTTATAAACTGGTTTAATTTATTATTATTTTATTCACATTGATGATGATGACACTAATAATAAAAGTAATTATATTAATAATATGAAAAATACTCCAAAATAATTGTATTTTAGGTTATCGTGGAAAGAACTTAGGATGAAGAATTTGAAAGAAATAGGAAAAAGGTGAAGAAATTGAAATGGATCGAAAAATATTGAAATTTAAGAGTTAGAGTCTAATAAAAGTGTAGAACATAAACTAATTACAAATGAAAAAGAAAATAATGAGTAATTATTAAACAAGCTAATAATAATAATAATAATAATAATAATAATAATAATAAAGTAATCAAATCGAAAAAAGTAGGATAACGAAAGCGTAGAATGAGATTGGGGAAATTTTGCCATTTTAGAAAAATAAAGGAAACTTATTAATTAATTATATGTAGGAGTATTATGTGGCATAGAAGTACAAATGTCAATTTGTGAATGGAGGGACATGGATGTCTTCTCAATTGCAAAGACACCAAAGAAAAATCCTAAATAAGTTTATGACATGTGGGATAGATTTACCATATTTATTAAAAACGAAGTGAAAATGTGAGAAACTATATATTAAAGCAATACTCTCCCTATGCCAAAAATAATGTTAGTTACCATTCTGAGCTCTCGATAAATTTAAGTTGTTAGACAATAATAATAATAATATTTATTACTTATGATAGTATTGTGTATGATAGTGTTTGATTATTAGTCAGCTTCCTATTCCTATTTATGGTATATTTAAGTTAGTGTCTATTTTCTATACCTAGTTGTGTTAGGAGTCCCTCATATATATACTCTATCATGTATTCCATAACTTAATGAGCGAGAATATAATTTCAATATTCCAACATGGTTTCTTGTTCACGTCTCGATTTGTAAATTTTTAGTGTAGTTTTGAGTAGTATAATTTATATTTTTTATTTCTATATTTCAATTTGTAAAAAGATTATTTTCCAAAAAATAAAATTTTATACGTAATTTAAAATGGGAAAAAAATGGGGAGAAATATCATTTTTGTAAACCTTAGATTGGGAGACAAGACAAGTAAGACAACTAGGTAACATGGCGATATGAGACTAAACTTTCTTCCAACGACCAATTTCAATTGGGTAAATTCATACACCGGATTTCCAAGTCAAAATTAAACTCCGGTTTCTATCGCAAGGTCCAACGTTTTACGACCACATTTATCGGTTACCGTTTTGGGAAACAAAGAGGAGTTGCAAGTTACAGATTATGACTAGTTTGACCATATTTATCTACTTCTATTACTTTCTACTTTGTCTCTTCTATTAAATCACTTCTTAGTTTAATTTTGCGTCTCAAAAATTCTGTTTTAGTACGAATAATATGTAAAATTTTATTTTTTAAAAAATATTTTATTTACAAACTGTTATATACTTCGTAAGAAATACTACATTGTTCAAAATAAATTAAAATTTCTAGAAAACAAGATATGAAAAAAAGCTATCTTATAAAATGATTAATACAAATATGCAAACAAACATAAGTCATCGAAAAACTGTAATCGTAAGTTAGTATCTAGAAAGATAATAAATTGATGATATATAGATGGGGTAGTAAAAATATATACGGAGTATTTTACTCCGTATATAGTTTAGTAAAAAAGACTAAATTAGAAGTAAAACATATAAAATATATCAAAATAGGAGTTTCATGTTTTTATTTTTAAAATAGGAGTTAAAATACACATATGCCAATCACATTATTACAGTGCAAATTTTTAATTTAGGGGAAAATATAGAGTTGTATTTTCTCTATGTTTTGTTCCTATTTGGAGTGACTTACTATATAATTTTGTTTAAATTTTTCCTTGCTAGGTAGAATTACGTCATTGGACAGTTAGACATGTAGTTCTTTTGGAATGAAAAAATAGTGTTGAATATTAAAGTAAACGGCAAGGCACGGTAAGGAAATTTGAAAAAAATTAGTAGTTGTTGAAAAAACATGGAAGGGTGGAATATATATTTGAGAAAAGAAAAATATAATGTTGAATTTAATACTATTTTAAAAATATTAACATTTTATTACAATAATATTTTTGTTAGATCAGTTGTTTGACGAAATACGACTAATCTTGAGCGGCCGAGTATGCATATTAAGGCCGAAAGCTTCCCTAGATGGTGGAGTTTGAACTCATGACCTCAAGGTCACCACAGCTTTGCGCTGCCAAATGTACATGCAACCACCCATTGGTACAAAAATTTATACATGCTCTATTTATTTCAAGTTTAGTTTAAATCTCTCTTTCCTTTTTGTGTTAAGCTATTTCTTAAGGCTGGTTAAAAATACTGATCCGACATTGTTCGGAACTAGATCGATATTGTACCAAATCGAACAATGGATTTTCAAATGGTTCGAGTAAATTATATCCCAAACCAAACGAATTTTGAACCGTTTCCAGAATTCTGAGAGACGGATTCCCAAAAAATAAAACTGAAAATATCAAAGTGAACTATCATCATTAAAATGTTAAATTAATATAGCTAGTAAACCTAGTATTAATTATGCATTTTCATTAGTGATTTTTTAGTAAGTTTACGTCATATTTAATTGGTGTGACTTTAGAATGAATATACTTGCGTTTTTATGTTAATTTATTACCTCAAAGTACAACTAAAGTTATAATTTTATTTGTGGAAAAATTAATTGACAATTATGTTTTGTCCAAAGTTGTAACTAAACAATACATTTATTGAGTAAGAATGCATAAAAGTAATGGTGCATCAATTATTTTTAATTACGTTGATTGCTAGTTAATACAAATATTTTTAAAATCGAATATTATAGTATGATTTGACATTAATTAATATGAAATGGTATCATCCCGTGTCTGAACGACATGGTACTGAATAACTTTAGGCATAAAACTAAAATCGTAACGACACGATCGAACTGTCAGTATGATACATGTTCTTTAAAAATCCGAATGAACCGTCACAGATTGTGCCCACACATACTCTTTTTTGTTTCAACCCATCTTTAGAAATATTTTTATGACTTACGCTCATTATTACTTTTTTAGATATTTTTATTAAAATGAAACACATAAGATTTTTTATGGAATAGGTGTAGTCTTTATTGTTAATTTGACTTAAGCATCATCACTTATTTTGTAAAATTAATCACATTATTTCAAATATGTATTTTTTTATAACAATTCTAATTAAATAAATAAATATAATGAAACTTAATTTTTTGATTCATTTTGCAAAATATAGCATTGTTTATGGATCGGAGTGAAGGAGTATATGGCATTAGAACTACTCAAGTATATATATATATATATATATATATATATATATATATATATATATATATATATATATATATATATATATAGTCAATGAACGGAGGGGTATGAACTTACAATGGGAGAACTACTCGACTTATAAAGCAACAAAAACCCCATTATAAATAGGGGTGGAGTTCCAAAAAAATAGAGAAAGCAAAGAAAATGACAGCCTCCATTCTCTTCACAATAAACATGGCCACCCCAAATGTTTATTGTTCGGCCCCAAGAACAATATCCCTAAATAGAAACCGCCAAATGACTCGCCGCCCTCGCCTGCATGTCTCACCATGCAACAACAATAAGGCCCCCGCCGCCGCCGCCAACGATGATTGGAAGGTCGACAGAAGAAACCTGCTGGTGGGGCTCGGGGGCGTGTACGGATATGGGGCTTTGAATCCGTTACTCGCCTCCGCAGACCCCATCAACGGGCCCGACATATCAAGTTGTGGCCCGGCCGACCTTCCTGACAACGTCGATAAGCTCACGAACTGCTGCCCCCCTGTGCCAGCAGGAATCGTGGACTTCGATAAGCTTCGGCAGCCACCGCGATCCGCCCCTCTTCGTGTTAGACGGGCGGCTCATCTGGTGGCCAAAGACGAAGCCTACATGGACAAGTTCACCAAGGCGGTTGAATTGATGAAGGCCCTTCCAGACGACGATCCCCGGAGCTTCCTTAACCAGGCTAAAATCCACTGTGCCTACTGCTGCGGCGCTTATGACCAGGCCGGTTTTCCGGACTTGGAGCTTCAAGTCCATTTCTCGTGGCTCTTCCACCCCTTCCATCGTTGCTACCTCTACTTCTTCGAGAGGATATTGGGGAAGCTCATTGACGACCCCACATTCGCTATGCCCTTCTGGAACTGGGACCACCCGGACGGCATGCAAATGCCGTCCATCTACATCGCAGATCAGAACTCCCCGCTCTACGACCGCTTTCGCAACTCAAAACACATGCCACCCAACATCGTTGATTTCGACTATGGCATTGGATCGGACTCATCCATTCTTGATGCACAACAGCTGATGTCTCAGAATCTTACTATAATGTACCGTCAACTTGTGTCACTGGGGCCTACCGCCCGTATGTTCCTTGGGAGCCCGTACCGTGCCGGGGATGACCCTGGACCCGGTCTAGGATCCCTAGAGTCTGTTCCACATGGCAGCATCCATGCCTGGACCGGAGACCCGTCGCAGCCTAATGGGGAGGATATGGGGTCTTTTTACACATCTGGGAGGGACATTATCTTCCATGCCCATCACGGCAACATCGACAGGATGTGGGAGATTTGGAAAACATTAGGCGGGCGACGCCAAAATTTCTCAGACCCAGACTGGCTTGATTCTTCACTCCTCTTCTACGATGAAAATGCGCAAATGGTCCGGATCAAGGTGAGGGACTGCCTGGACACGAGAGACCTTGGGTACGTGTACCAAGACGTTGAGATCCCGTGGCTAAACTCTCGTCCCACGCCACGGGCATCCAACAATAGGGTTCTGAGGAAAGCAAAGAAGTTTGCCGCAGATGCAGGGACAGACACCCCTGCAGCAGCTGACAAGGTTTTTCCCCGGAGGCTCGACAAAGTTGTCAGGGCAACGGTGAGAAGGCCAACAAGAGGAAAACATAAGAGAAACAATGAAGAAGAAGAAGAAGAAGAAATTCTTGTAATCGAAGGGGTAGAGGTTGAGAAGGATGTTTATGTGAAGTTCGACGTGCTTGTTAACGAAGAAGACGAGGCGATGGCCACGCCCAAGCACACCGAGTTTTGCGGGAGCTTCGTGAGCGTGCCACATGGCGGTGATCACCACCACCATAAACAGCAGAAGATGATCAAGACTGAGATGAGGTTAACCATAACTGAACTATTGGAGGATTTGAATGCGGAGAACGATGACCAAATTCTAGTGACTTTAGTGCCAAAGACGGGATGTGAGGGTGTCAAGATTGGTGGTCTCAAGATCGTTTTTGATTCTTGATTTTACATTAGCATAATAAGATATACTCCGTATAATTGTGATCAATTAAGTACGTTCTCGAAATTTAACTTCTCTTGGGGAGTAGCATTTCTTTTGAATTCATGCATTTCAATTCCAAAATTTGAATTCTTGAATTTCAAATTACAAGGGGAGGTATATGAATTGAAAATTGAGCTTTGTTATGAGCTAGAGGAATTTGACTCAAAATCCAAATCTAAATTTTTTAAATTTCCCAAACAAGGAATTTGAGCCAAATCTAGATTTGAAATCCAAATCCAATTTTCCAAACATGCAATTAATTAATTTCATAAGTAGTTTCAATCAAACAATATACCATGTATGCCGCCCGCAGCTGGTCAACCTGTATGCCTATGTTCTTCCAACTCTTATTTGTAATATGTTAAACCTTGACCTTGTTTAATACTTCTTCCATTCCAAAAAGAATGACACAATTACTATTTCAGCCTCTCCTTAATTTTTGTTTATTTTCTTGTTTTGGTTGACTATTTGACAGAATAAAATGCTCTTGTCACATCTTGTTTTGTAAAAGAAGAAATCACCTGAAATAAGACTAAAACATAGACAAAGTACCAAAATAGGAGTTCTATATTATTTTTATTTCTTAAATAGGAGTTCGTACTATGATAATGTGCATTGTACATGTACATTTTACGTAATATACATGGTCATGATTGGTAATATAAATGTATTTTAACTCCTGTTTAAGGAATAAAAATATGGAACTCTTATTTTGGTATATTTAAATTGAATATTATGTACATGATATCAAATGATTTAATTATGAATTGAGATTCAATTTATGTGGATATTCGATACATTAAATATCCTTACTCAGCTTCACCGCTGAGTGTGTAGTATGTTTTATTTCCTACACGCAGGTAAACAAAAAGAATGATATGACGTGTGTAACACCCTAATCCGTCCAGGCCTGCAGCCCCTTTTGCACTAAAGTATAAACTTGGTATTCGTAAACATTCAAAATATTTCAAACATTTAAAACTTCATTTCATAATAAATTATTCAGAATAATAACGGAATAGTTTAATGTTGTGCAAACTGAATAAATAACAATTACAAAACATAATAATATTATGTTTTTTAAACATTAATTCATTTCCTTAGCTTGACCATCTCGCCCTGTTTGCCGTCAGGATTCCATCACTTCATTCTTTTTGTTTACATGTGTCTAGCAAATAAAACATACTACACACTCAGCGGTAAAGCGGAGTAAGCATATCTAATGCATCGAACATCCATATAAATTGGATCTCAATTCATAATCAACCATTTCATATCATGCACACAATATACAATTCAATCATTAATCATTCATGATATTCACAATATTTAATTTCAAGTCATTTAATTTCATGATATATGCAATATTCAATATTCAATGTCTCAAGAGTACTCTTAAATTATTCTTAATCTAAGGTCAAATCATTTTTATACAAGCTCTTAACTATTCTTAGTGTAAGGCAATATTTCTAACTGAGCTCTTAAACTATAAATAGTTTAAGGCAAAACACAAGAATCGATAATCCACTCTATGAGTCATGTGGATTACGTACCAACCGAACAATGAACTGTCGGGCGGGTGATATCCAGTCTGGATTTCGTACGTACGTTTTAACCCCAAATAATTGAATTGGTCACATAGGTATATTCTAGAGTTCTTCTAGATATCCTTAACAATACACATCATTTTCATAATCAATATGTCCATTTTTAGTCATGATTCAATTCTTCATAATTATTACTTTAATCAAAATATTAAATCATCATTATCATCAACCAAAGATATTTATCATAATCATCAATAATCATAATTAACAAGTAGCGGCCTAGCGTCGAGTGTTAACACCCTAGCTTACTGTCATGCATCAAACAAGATTCTTGGTTTTATTGAAACATCATATTCATTTCCAGAAATCATATTAAAATTGATTAAAATTGATTGGTATCAAAAAATAGAGTTTAAGAGTTTACAAAATCAGGTTTTCTGAAATTTTCTCTGGACAAATGGTACCCCTAACAGTACCTCAGAACCGCTCAAACGGTACGGGGTATCGTTTGGCATTAGGTACCGCCAGAGAGAATGGATTCCTGTAGTGGAGACGGTAGCTAGCCTACCATTCCCACGGTATGGCCTACCGTCCCGGCGGTACCAAGGTACTGTCCGGACGGTATCGGGCTACCGTTCTGCGCACAGTTTTGAACAATGTCATTTTCAACCTCGGACCAATTTTTGGAAATGTCATTTTTAGTCAAAAAAATTCAATTAAACTATATAGAAATGTTCTCTAAGGTTTATAGATCATTTTGGTATCATTAGTTCATAGTTTTAACATCAAATTTAAGGTTTATGATTCTTAGTTCTTCAAGTATGTCAAACACAAAACTCAACCAAACAACCATTTATGAACGTAGAAATGATCTATACAAACATTTTAGTCACTAGATATATCAACAGGCTTACCTCGAAGCTTAACGGAGGTTTTGAGAATTTTCCAGCGAAACTTCCAACGAGGATTACTCTTAGCTCCAGCGACTTCACACCAAAATGGCAGAACCACTGCGTTCTCCACACTCAAAGCTAACTCTCAAAAGAAATTTGAGAAGAAATGGTGAAGAATTGAGTAGGAGCAGTGGTCTTATATAGAGGAGGAATGGAAGAAGAAACTTCCAGCGAAACTTCCAAGGCTCCTGATGAACGATTCCCTATTTAGGCGGCTGAGTGGAGCAGGCTGTTGTCTTCCCTCGATTCTAAACGTAAGTCTCTGATTGGGACTAATTTGGTCCCAGTCGGGGCACACTTTTTGGTCTAACTTTCTCCGAATTGAAATCCGATTGAACTGTTGGAGTAGTCAGACACTCAAACTCTAAATAACGATATAATTTTCATTATTTATTGACAAACTTTATAAATCACTTATTTTTGGGCCCTTCTCAGTAATTAATTAATTATTAATTAATTAATTCTGATAGGCCTATTTTCGGAGCGTTACAACGTGATCCTGGCAAACGCAGGCGATATTGTTGATCGGGATGGATGTGATGGTTTTAAATTGTTATTTCAAAAGATAAATTAATTATGTTTTATGATTGTGATTTGTTAAAGTTTCCGCAACATTGAAAACTCCGTCACTATTTATGTTATGAATATTATTTGTGATACATAAAAGTGTTTGAAATGTTTTAAATGTTACGATTACCAAGTTTATACTTTAGTTCGAAATGGGCTGCAGACCTGGACGGGTTAGGGTGTTACAATATACAGTAGCTTCTTTACACATAGGGAGGAGGGGCTACACACAAGGCTAACATTAGGAACTCTAATATCAAAAGATTTCATCTGAAACCGGTATAAACTCATACTGATGTAAACTCGAATCGCTACAAACCCGAACCAGTATAAACCCGAACCGATATAAGCTCGAACCAAAATCGGGAAAAATCAAATTAAGCCTAAAACTGAACCAAACCGATTATAACATATATCTGAAAGTGACGTGAACCTGAACTAAAAAGATCCAAACCGAAATCGAACTGATTGGCAGGTCTGTAGTTACCATAATTGAATATAGTTCCAACTCCACATTCCTCCAATTACTCCGTAACAAGTACTCGTTTTAAATTGTTAAAGTTTGATTAACAAAATTTAAAAACAGCCTTTTTTTTGTTATTTTTTTAACAGCACCCTTAGAAATTTAATTTTCAATTGAAATTCTTTTGTTACGTAGATAAGAACTTTTAGTACTTAAATATGACATGTGTACTTGTATAAAACATGACATGTGTAGTTTTACAGATTTTTGTTAATTATTTATATTTTAATTAGAAATTAGAAACCGTTTGAAAAACTAGTGTTGTATGGTTAAGTATATTTTTTAAGAATGATTCATATGTCAAATATAAATTAGAAAATATTATCTAAATTAAAATTTTTGGTGCATAGGGTTTTACTAGAACTAAACATATACTTCGTATAAGTTTTAGTTATTTTTTACAAATAAAATATCATAATTTATTACAATAATTATGGGATAAAATAAATGACATGTGGTCTACCATTAAAAAAAGAAGTGAAAATGTGAGAATCTATTAAAATAATACTCTCTCTATTCCAAAAGTAGTGTTAGTTACTATTCTGAATTCTCGATAAATTTTTCTAGCACATTTTCATTTATTATCGAATAAATAAAATATTCTTGGTACGTCTTGATTTGTAAAACTTTTGGTTTAGCTTTGAGTCATATAATTTGTATTTTTTTCAACATCAATTTGTTAATAAAAAACATTTTCCAAAAAATAAAATTTTAGAATAACGAAAAAATGGAGAGAAAGATCATTTTTTTAACCTTAGATTGGGAGACAAGACAAGTAAGACAACTAGGTAACATGGTGATATGAGACATTGAGACTAAACTTTCTTCCAACGACCAATCTCTATTGGGTAAATTTAAACAGCGTACTACCAAGTCAAACAAAGAGGAGTTGCAAGTTACAGATTATGACTAGTTTGACCATATTTATCTACTTCTATTACTTTCTACTTTGTCTCTTCTATTAAATCACTTTTTAGTTTAATTCTACGTCTCAAAATTTCTGTTTTAGTGCGAGTAATATGTAAAAATTTATTTTTTAAAAAATATTTTATTTATAAATTGTTATATAAAAATACAAATTACATTACTCAAAACAAATTAAAATTTTTAGAAAACAAGATATGAAAAATGTATCAAATAAAATGATTAATAAAAATATGCAAACAAACATAAATTATCAAAAGACTGTGATAGTAAGTTAGTAACTAGAGAGATAATAAATGGATGGATAGATGGAGTAGTAAAAATAAAGAAATATTTGCACTAAATAGCACTAAAACTTAAGTCATTACTCTCAATAGCACTTAGATTGTTTTCTTACCTAAGTAGCACTTAATAATGTCCATAATGACTAGTGATGACAAACATTTACTTGGATAATGACTAATGGATAATGACTAAAAGTGCTACATTGAGAAAAAAAATGTATGTAGTGCTATTTAGGGAAAGTCATTATATTTTAGTTCTATTTAGATAAATTCCTCAAAAATAAATAGTACAATCTGCAGGTAAATACCTATATTTTAGTTCGTATATCATTTAAGAAAAAAAAGACTAATAAAAGTAAAACATAGAATATATTCCAAAATAGGAGTATATGTTTTTATTTTCAAAATATAAGTTAAAATACTTATATGTCAATCATGTCAATATTTTATACAAAAAAAGTATTGTAAAATGCTCA